CAGTGGACTATCTCAGGGGTTTCCATGTGACCAGTAGTCAAGTGGGGACATGATTTAAGGGAAGTTGGAAAATGCATTTGTGAGTATCTTAGGTATCCTAATGAATTCTCTGAAAACTGGCGGTGTGATGGAATGTTTAATCCCACCGCACACTAATGCATAACAACTATGGTTAAGAAGGCTTTGCAAAAGGCTACCTAGACAGTCAACCATCCAGGAGGGTTAAAACCAATAGCACCTATTGGTTTGCATTTCATTTCTTTTCCTATGTAGTGAACTTCAAAGGTCTTTAATTCCCTGTTATCTCAGAAGATTAGTATTGTGGGAACAGAAGGTTCCACCAGGTCCTCTATGGAGAGAGAAAAGGATTAGGTAAGTTTTTCTAATTCACATTAGTCAATAGTTATGGGTTAAGGCTTTAAAAAGAATAATTAAAATGTCAGTAAGGCCATTCAGAGGAGGTAAAAGTAAATAAAACCTTTTCTCCCTTTGACTTTCATTTCTTTTCCTTTTTGTTCTCCTGATAATGGTTTAAAGACCACTAATCCTCTTATATCTTAGAGGAATACTATTGCAGAAACACTGGTAGTACTGGATGCTCTGTTGAGGGGAAAGAGTAGGTCGTCTGTGTTTAGAAAAGTTTAAAAAGTCTGCTGCGGCGCCTGGATGGCTCAGTAGGCTGAGCATCTGATTCTTGGTTTCGGCTCAGGTTATGATCCCAGGGTGGTAGAATCGAGCTGTGTGTTGAGCCCCACACTGAGTTTGGAGCCTGTTTGGGATTCTCTCTCCCCCTCTGCTCCTCTCACCCACTCATTCTCTCCTATAAAATAAAATAAAATAAAATAAAATAAAATAAAATAAAATAAAAAATTTAAAAGTCTGCTTATCATGGTTGGTTCTAAGATATTTACAATGTGTGTTAGAATGTGGAAAGGTCTGTTATAAATTCAGTATAACTTGATTTTGTTCTTTGTCTCTAACTGTTTAGGCCTTGGAACCCCTTTTCCCCATGGTTTCTGATAAACTTTGGAAAATGCTTTTGATTTATTTCATGATCCCCTTTGGGTGCTGAGATTCTCCCCATGTTTGCTCTTCAGTGTCAATGTAATCTTGGTATCACACTAGGCAACAAACCTGAACAATAGGAAGGTTACACAGTTCTGAACAGAATTTATGGTGCCAATAAATTACAAGGGCCTTGTCAGGTAGAAGCTTTCAAATACCAATGGAAAGAGCATACCATTTACTTTGATGGCCCAAGGGCCTGCAAAAATAACATAAAGAAACTCTTCTAGTCCTCCTTCTCCAGGATAAGCAGGAAAGCTTATATCCTACTCTTCTCCATGCTTCTTCTGATATGAGAATTGTTGGAATGAGAATAGTCTGAACTGAGAGGGGCTTTGTGAAAGAAGTTGCAGAATGAAGAAGTTAGCCCATGTGGAATTTTGTGAAGCCTTTCTTCCTTGATGTACATCTATTCCCTGATGCTGGTGAGCATTTCAGGTCCAGAAAGCCTCTCCTTAAGATTCCATAGCGTCATGGGTCTCTATATGCAGACGTGAGCAATCCAGGGAGGACCCTGGGATGGTGTTCCCTGAATAGCAGAGCTTGATGCATAAAAATTATTAAACAAATATTATTTTAAAATTTTAATCAGTTACTTGGAACTTGACAATTTAAAACATAATTCTAGGGGCGCCTGGGTGTCTCTGTCAGTTAAACATCCAACTTCGGCTCTGGACATGATCTCATGGTCCATGAGTTTGAGCCCCACATTGGACTCTGTGCTCAGATTCTGTCTCCCTCTCTCTCTGCCCCTCCCCTGCTTCGTTCTCTCTCTTTCTCCCTCTCAAAATAATTAAACATTTAGAAATTTTATTTTATTTTATTTTTATTTTTTAATATATGAAATTTATTGTCAAATTGGTTTCCATACAACACCCAGTGCTCATCCCAAAAGATGCCCTCTTCAATAGCCATCACCCACTCTCTCCTCCCTCCCACCCCCCATCACCCTCAGTTTCTTCTCAGTTTTTTTTTTTTTTTTAGAATTTTTTTTTTAACGTTTATTTATTTTTGAGACAGAGGGAGACAGAGCATGAATGGGGGAGGGTCAGAGAGAGGGAGACACAGAATCAGAAACAGGCTCCAGGCTCTGAGCGGTCAGCACAGAGCCCGACGCGGGGCTCAAACTCACGGAGTGTGAGATCGTGACCTGAGCCAAAGTCGGCCGCTTAACCGACTGAGCCACCCAGGCGCCCCTCTTCTCAGTTTTTAAGAGTCTCTTATGCTTTGGCTCTCTCCCACTCTCACCTCTTTTTTTTTTTTTTTTCCTTCCCCTCCCCCATGGGTTCCTGTTAAGTTTCTCAGAGAGCCTGGGCACAGCCCCTGGCGCACCGCGCCCCTGAAGTCTTCCCCGTGAGACCCCAGATCTTTCCTGGACGCTCTTCCCACTGGGCCCTGAAGGGAGGCAGGGGTCCGGGTCTCATCTAACGGGTGCTCCTCAGAGCCAGGGGCTTCCGTGGTCCCCCACCCGGTCCCCGAGGGACGGCTGGCACCCTGAAGCAACCGTGGGAGGGGGTGCGGACCCTGCAGAGGTGCCATGTACCAGACCGACTTTGGCCGTGGGCTGGCCCAGCTGGACACAGACACCCCGGCCTATGCTTGGCGGACACAACAGGAGGATGCAGGGTGTGATAGACTGCCCGCCCCGCGAACACGGTGGGCACAGGGGCCCTGGTCTCCGTGCACCTGCCAGAACCGGGTCATCTCTGCTCTGAAAGCTGCAGGTTAAAAACGTGTCAGTGTGAAAATCAATCAATCACTCACTCACTCAGTCCCCCACTTCCAAGGATAGTCTGTTGTTTATTCCTACCACAGGTCTTTTCAATGCAAAAGCCAACTATTCCTCTTTGCAGCCTGGGCCCACCAATTAATGACAATTTGAAAGAAAATTTGGTTTAATGTTTATTTATTTATTTTTGAGGGAAGGGATAAGGGCGGGGAGGGGGGGGGAGAGAATACCAAGCAAGCCCTGTGCTGTCAGCGCAGAGCCTGAGATCATGACCTGAGCCTAAATCAAGAGTCCGAAACTTAACCAACTGAGCCACCCAGGCACCCCAGGAAAGTTGGTTTAAAACTAGGATGATTACATTTTGCAAAACACCTGACCAGTTCTCTACAAAATTATCATGGTCCTCAAAAACAAGGATAGTTTGAAAGACTGTCATAGTCAAGAGGAGCCTAAGGACACATGACAACTAAATATAAAGTGGTGTCTTGGATGGGACCCTGGAACAGAACAAGAACATTGGTAAAATCTAAGGAAATCTGAATGAAGTATGGATTTCAGTTAAATAAAAAACAAAGAAGCAAAAAACAAAAAAACAACTAAAACACTCCCCAGCTTTACTCTGTCCTTGATAGTGAACACTCTGAGACTCCCGCATGGTGAACTCCTTTGATTAAAACAGTAGCTGGAACATGACATGAATGGACTTTTAGACTTTTAGACACTGAGCTGCAGCCTGCATTGCAATCTTGGCTAACGGCCGTTTATCAACTGTTGTTAGTTAACTGTTGTTAGGAGGGTGCTATACAATATGACCACAAGAGGGGAAAAAAGAACATTTCTGCCTATGTGGTAAAAACTGGGGCCATAGGCTGTTATATTGCTCAATATTTCCCTTAGAAGGTTTGTGTGAGAAATCTCCCTCCTTTGGGTTTTTTGTTTTGTTTTGTTATAAAGAAAGGAAAAATTTGAGTGGGTCAGGAATTCAAATAGAACACAGTGAGGGCAGCTTGTCTCTGCTCCAATGTCTGAGGCCATAGCTGGAGGACTCAAAGATTAAGAGCAGGAATCACCTGAAGGCGTGTTCACCACACATGATGAGTGGTTGATAGTGGCTGAGACATTAGCTGGGCCTGTTGGCTGAAATATCTGTACCAGGCTTCTCTGGGTGGCATGAGCTTCTCTATAGCATGGAGATTGTGTCCCAAGACAGAGAAGGACAATGCAGCTGAAGCTGTATCACCTCTTATGACTTGGCCGTGGACATCATGCAGTGCTACTTTGTGTTCTATTTATTAGAAGTGAGTTCCAGGGTCCCTGGGTGGCTTAGGCATTGAGCATCTTATTTTGAATCAGGTCCTGATCTCGTGGTGGTTCATGACTTCAAGCCCCATATGGGGCTCTCTGCTGTCATTGCGGAACCTGCTTCAAATTCTCTGTCTCTGCACCTCCCCCACTTGCGCTCTTTCTCTCAAAAATAAACATTAAAAAAATAAAATAGAAGTGAGTTCCTAAAACTAACCCATACTCAGGGAAAGGAAACACAGACCATACCTTTTAATAAAGGAGAATCAACATCACACTACAAGAAGAGCATGTAGAATGGGATATGTTGGTGTGGACATCTTTGGAAAATGCAATATGCTACGATCGGTTTGAAGAAAATATGGCAATATTCAGTAAAATTGAAAATATACATATGGCTTGACAATTCCACATCTAAATCTACGTTGGTAAAAATTTTCTACATATTCATCAACAGAAGATTGAGATTCTATAGGTTGCCTTTTAGTTTCGTTGATTTTTTCCTTTGCTGTGCAGAAGACTTTTATCTTGATCAAGTCCCAGTAGTTCATATTTGCTTTTGTTTCCATTTGTTCTGGAGATGTGTCTAGTAAGAAGTTGCTTCAGCTGAGGTCAAAGAGGTTACCGCCTCTGTTCTCCTCTATGATTTTTACGGTTTCCTATCTCACATATAGGTCTTTCATCCATTTTGAATTTATTTTTGTGTATGGTGTAAGAAAGTGGTCCAGTTTCATTCTGCATGTTGCTGTCCAGTTTTCCGAACACCATTTGTTGAAGAGACTGTCTTTGTTTTTTTCATTGGACATTCTTTCATGCTTAGTTGAAGACTAGTTGACCATATAGTTGTGGATCCATTTCTGGGTTTTCTATTCTATTCCATTGATCTATGTGTCTATTTTTACAGCAGTAACATACTGTCCTGATGACTACAGGTTTGTAATACATCTTGAAGTCCAGAATTGTGATGCCTCCAGGTTTGCTTTTCTTTTTCAGGATTGCTTTGGTTATTTGGGGTCCTTTGTGGCTCCATACAAATTGTAGGATTGTTTGTTCTACCTCTGTAAAAAATGCTGGTGTTCATTTGCAATTATGTGAATGGAACTAGAGGGTATTATGCTAAGTGAAATTAGTCAGAGTAACACAAATATCAAATGACTTCACTCATATGAGAACTTTAAGACACAAAACAGATGAACATAAGGGAAGAGATGCAAAAATAATATAAAAACAGGGAAGGGGACAAAAACATAAGAGACTCTTAAATATGGAGAACAAACAGAGGGTTACTGGGGGGGGTTGTGGGAGGGGGGATGGGCTAAATGGGTAAGTGGCATTAATCTACTCCTGAAATTACTGTTGCACTGTATGCTAACTAACTTGGATGTATATTAAAAAAATAAATTAAAAAATGTTGGTGTTATTTTGATAGGGATTGCATTAAATGTGTAGATTGCTTTGGGTAGTACAGAGATTTTAACAATGTTTGTTCTTCCAATCCATGAGCATGGAATGCGTTTCCATTTCTTTGTGTCCTCTTCAATTTCTTTCATAAAGGTTTTATAGTTTTCAGAGTACATGGATCTTTTACTTCTTTGGTTAAATTTATCCCTAAGTATTTTATTGTTTTTGATGCAATTGTAAATGGGATCAATTACTTGATTTCTTTTCTGCTGCTTCATCATTGTTGTATAGAAAGGCAACAGATTTCTGTATGTTTATTTTATATCCTGTGACTTTGCGTAGTTTGTGTATTAGTTCTAGCAATTTTTTGGTGGAGTCTTTTGGGTTTTCTACATAGAGTATCATGTCATCTGCAAATAGTGAAGTTTTGACTTCTTCCTTGATGATTTGGATGCCTTTTATTTCTTTTTGTTGTCTGATTGCTGAGGCTAGGACTTTCAGTACAATGTTAAATAACAATGAGACTGGATTTCCCTGTCTTGTTCCTGACTGTAGAGAAAAAGCTCTCAGTTTTTCCTCATTGAGGACGATATTAGCTGTAGGTCTTTTGTATATGGACTTTATGATATTGAGGTATGTTGCCTCTATCCCTACTTTTTTGAGGATTTTTATCAAGAATGGATGCTGTATTTTGTCAAATGCTATTTCTGCATCTATTGAGAGTGTCATATGGTTCTTATCCTTTCTTTCATTAATGTGGTGTACCATATTGGTTGATTTGCAAATATGGAGCCACCCTTTCAGCCCAGGAATAAATCCCACTTGATTGTGGTGACTAATTTTTTAATATGCTGTTGGATTTGATTTGCTCGTATCTTGTTGCCAATTTTTGCACCCATGTTAATCAGGGATGTTGGCCTATAATTCTGCTTTGTCTGGCTTTGGAATCAAGATAATGCTGGCCTTGTAAAATGAGTTTGGAAGTTTTCTTTCCATTTCTATTTTTTAGAAAAGTTTGAGAAGAATAGATATTAACTCTTTATTTTTAAACATTTATTTATTTATTTAAAGAGAGTATGAGTGGGGGAGGGGCAGAGAGAGAGTCCCCAAGCAGACTCTGTGCTGTCAGCACAGCCCAGTGTGGGGCTTGATCCCATGAACTGTGAGATCATGACCTGAGCCAAAATCAAGAGTCAGATGCTTAATTGACTGAGCCACCCAGATGCCTCTATTTCTTCTTTAAAGGTCTGGTAGAATTCTCCTGGGAAGCCATCTGGCCCTGGACTTTTGTTTGTTGGGAGATTTTTGATTGCTGATTCAGTTTGTTTCCTGGTTATGTGTCTCTTCAATTTTTTGTTTCTTCCTGTTTCAGTTTTGGTAATTTTTATGTTTCTTGGAAGTTATCCCTTTTTTCCAGATTGCCGAGTTTGTTGGCATATAATTTTTCATAATATTCTCTTATAATTCTTACTTTTTCTATTGTGTTGGTTGTCATCTGTCTTCTTTCATTTGTGATTTTATTTATTTGGGTTCTTTTTCTTTTCTTTTTGCTAAGTATGGCTAGAGGTTTATCAATTTTATTAATTCTTTCAAAGAACCGGTTCTTAGTTTCATTGATCTGTTCTTCTGTTTTTGTTGTTGTTGTTGTTCCTGTTGTTTCTATATCATTTATATCTACTCTATTCTTTATTATTTCCCTTCTTCTGCTGGCTTTAGGCTTCATTTGCTTATCCTTTTCAATCTCCTTTAGGTGTAAGGTTAGGCTGTGTATTGAGACTTGTCTTGCTTCTTGATACAGGCCTGTATTGCTATATACTTCCCTCTTAGGACCACCTTTGGGGCATCCCAAAGGTTTTGGACTGTCCTGTTTTCATTTTCATTTGCCTTCCATTTATTTATTTATTTCTTCTTTAATTTTCTGGTTAACCCATTCATTCTTCAGAAGGAAGTTCTTTAACTTCCATGTATTTGTGGTCTTTCCAAATTTTTTCTTGTGGTTGACTTCAAGTTTCATAGTATTGTGGTCTGAAAATATGCATGGCATGATCTCAATCTTTTTGTACTTGTTGAGGCCTGATTTGTGACCCAGTATGTGGTCTATGCTGGAGAATGTTCCACGTGCACTTGAAAAGAATATGTATTCTGCTTCTTTAGGATGAAATGTTTTGAATGGATCTGCTGAGTCCGTGTGGTCCAGTGTGTCATTCAAAGCCATTGTTTCCTTCTTGATTTTCTGCTTAGATGACTTGTCGGTTGCTCTAAGTGGGGGTGTTGAAGTCCCCTACTATTATTGTATTATTATCAATGATTTTCGGTATGTTTGTGATTAATTGATTTATATATTTGGGTGTTCAAGTTAGGGGCATAAATATTTACAGTTGTTAGATCTTCTTGATGGATATATCCCTTAATTATGATGTAGTACCCTTCTTCATCTCCTATTACAGTCATCAGTTTAAAATCTAGTTCATCTGGGGGCACCTGGGCAGCTCAGTCAGTTAAGTGTCCAACTCCTGGGCCTCTGTCCTCCTTCCCCAGAGGAGAACCACTGAGTCGACTAGGCAGAGATGGTGTGTGATGGGGTTTTGGAATGGTGGTGGGGTCTAGAGCCCACAGCCAAGAAAGGATTCTTGAGAGATCTTTGGTGCAAAACGGTGATTTTATTAAAGCACAGGGACAAGACCCGTGGGCAGGAAGAGCCACCCCGGGACCATGAGGAGAGACTGATTATATACTTAGTAGTTGGGGGAGGTAAAGTCAAAGGGAAGTTTCCAAAGTGATTTTCATATGCTAAAGAAGACTCACAGGATATTGGAGGCTTAGCTGCTGTCAGGCTAAAGTTGTTTTTCTCTCTAGCAAAGCTTTAACATTAAGACAGTAGGGAGTTCCTGGAGAAATTTTCTACTCTGCTTGCTTCCAGTATCTGTCAATGGGCTGCAGGTCATAAGGAAATATGATTTTATCTCCATTTCCTTCTGCCTTTATTTCCCACATCAGGGTGGACTTCTAAAACTTCAAACTTTGAGATCTGCTGCTTATAAAAACTTGCAATAGTCAGCCCTTCTCCTTTTCTCAGTCAATGGTTTTGGGGAAGAGTTTTTCTTATGCAATTCCCTATGTGCTACTTTCACTCTTTCTCTCTTGCTTCCTTCTCCATGATCAGGGGTCCCTCCCCTCTGCAGCAGCCTTGATTATTTTCTCCCCCAAATCAACTCTTTGCAGCTCCTAACTACCACTATGTGGCCATTTTTCTCCCTCTGAATGTGCAGTTTGTTCTCTCAGTCCTCAGATTGATTTCTTGGGTGTTCAGAATGAGTTGATCTTTATCTGGCTATGTTGAAGGGACAAGACAAGCATAGGTCCCCCACTACTGTGCCATCTTAACTCCTACTTCCTAAATTTTTTTCTAAGTTTTACTACTTTTTGGACCATTGTATAATGCTATCAGGTCATTTTAGCTGATTTAGGGATATACCTAAATGAGTATCTGATTTAGTCAATTATCTTGACTCTCCCAGAATACATTATTGAATGCAAAAAAATAGCACAAATCTGAGAGACTCCACCATCTAGTCCATTTGTTTAGAACTAACACCTTTCATCATAAGAGATTTTCCCAAAGTTATCCTCATTCTTACTCCCTCCTACAATTTCTTCAATCTATGAGTTCCCTTTAATGTATAAATAACTATAGTTGAGTAACAGTGAGTAACTGAGTGGTTTGAGTAAAGGAAATTCAGTCTTTTCTTTCTCCAAGAATCTGTGGAATTGTCCAGGTAATGTTTATGATGAGGGAGTATGAGGCAAGCTGAGGACAAAGCACAAGCTAGCACCCCTCCTCCCCACCAGTGGGATATGTATGATATTCCTCAGCCACTCCTGGCTTCCCAAGAGCAAAAGAAAAGGAAAGGAAACAAGTGGTTGACTGATAGAGATCACAGTCATGCAGGACATATCTCTATCAGTTTACAATCAATAGCCTAATCTATCAGTTTACAATCAATAGCCTAATCTCCCGAAAACTATGGATTCACTTTCCTGGAGGCCCTATTATCACCCTCCCCTCCATAGTGATGTGGGGAATAAAGGCAAGAAGGAAATGGCAGGTAGAATTAAATGTCCTTATAACCTGAGCTCATTGACAAATACTTGAGGCAAATACAGAGTATAATATTTTTCCACGAACCCCCTACCATCCTAATGATAATGCCTTACTAGAGGAAAAAACAACCTGAACTTGACAATAGCAAGGACTCAGGTATCCCTGGAGTCCTCTTTAGCATATCAGAGTCCTTCTGGAGGCCTGCCTTTTGCCATTACCTCCCCCAACTCTGTAGTATATAACCAGGCACTCTTCACAACCCCAGTGCAGCTCTTTCTGCCCCTGGGTCCTGTCCTTGTGCTTTAATAAAATCAACTATTTGCACCAAAGACATCTTTAAGAATTATTTCTTGGCTGTCAAGAAATACAGTATTTCTTGGCTGTCAGCTCCGAACCCCCACCACCATTCCCAAACCCCATCATTTATATTGTACATAAGTCCATTCTGATTCCCGATTAGGTCAACGCAGGCCATCTGAAGATCCCTTTCCCTGAGGATGATGCTACTTTCTTACACTGGTTTACA